TGGGGCAGTTCTACTCTGTTCTATAAGCTATCAGTCAGAATCCACTCAATGCCAATGGCAATGGGTTCGGGTCAGGATTTTTTTTTTTTTTTTTTTTTTTTGGTACCTAACCAGCCACTCCTCGGAAGGAAGGTTGGGCAATCCTACTTCCGTAGTGATACTGCCTCGGAAACCCAAGGAGGGGTCGCTATGAGTCGGGCCGACTCAACGGCAAATAACAACAACAACAATGTAAAGATTTACCCTTTATTTACCAGTGTTTGAAACACCTGTTTACTGTCATTTCTAATGTGTTGTTTGCTGTTTATTCCTTTCAGCATATACTACTGTCCTTCAGATTGCAAACTAAGGAGGACCATCCATGGCTATCCTATCTTAATAATTGGAAAGCCGGAAGCACATGGGCATCAGATGCTATTTGATAATAATGAGAAATAGTTTACACTAACCCTATAACAGATTACTTAAATTTGTTCTAACAAAACAATGGGGATTAGCACTAACTAGGCACCTAAGGCATTTGACTGCTAACCAGAAGGCCGGTGGTTCAAACCCACCAGCCACTCCTCAGAAGGAAGGTTGGGCAATCTACTTCCATAGTGCATACTGATACTACCTTGAAAACCTAAGGGGGGGTCACTATGAGTCAGATCCAACTCGATGCCAGTGAGTCTGTTTTTTTTTTTTTTTTTCGTTTTATTGAGGATTAGGTTTGGGGATAGGAGGTGTATTTCATTTAACTGTTTCAAAATAAAATAAAACATTTGATAAGCTATGATCTCTTTCACTTCTCTGTTGCATACACATTTTAGGTGGACATGAGTCCATGAATTTGCCAGAGACATTAAAAAAAAAAAACCTGAACATAAAGCTTCAGACTTAAAGCAGACAAATAAGTCACTGGGCACACCTTGGCTCTGAAGAAGTCCTATGTAAACATTTTGACCTTAAATTCAAGACAACCAAGAACTCAATTCTATGTCTGGCTGGAGGGACTAAACAAATCACCTCTTTTTGTCCTAATTTAGTCTATTGTAACACAGAACTATACAAATATATACTTACGTATCAACTAACTAAAAGCAAAAGCAATTTGAAGACCAGCAATTAAAGAATCCACTAAAATATCAAAGACCTCAATGCAATTTTACACTTTAAATAGGATTTAAACTTCACAAATGTCCATAATCATATAGTGTTCCTGACTACTTCTCCCAAACATGTAAATTCAATGTCTTTAGATTCCTACTCTGTTTTCCTAGCAACCTCTCCCCTCCAAGCTATGAACAGGGCTTTTTGTTGAGATTCTAAACAAAATACATTTAAGAAGGAATTTGGACTGTGGTGATGCTCCTTTTTTAGATGGAATTCCAGAAAACACGGTGATCTGAAACTGTCCTGTGATATAAGCTACTTGTACTGGACAACAAAAATACATTATGTGAAAACTGGAGGAATAAAGGAACAGTAAGAAACTGGGAGAAGTAAGAAGGAAGTACATTGGAGTAAACAGAACAACATCAAGGACAAAACAATTCAGAGAAGTAGAAAAAAGTTTGAAATAACTAAGTCCATCATGGAAACAGAAAAGATGTTCAAGCCTTCTGTTTTATGTAGGCTTTTCTCAATATATGCTATAAAACAGCCAAAAAAAGATCTATACCTGAATTTTCAGGGAACCTTTCATTCTCAAGATCTATAATAACCTTGTTTTTAAGTGTACTACAGAATAGTATTCTGTGAGGATGGTACAGGACCAGGTAGTGTTTCATTGTATTGTACGCAGGTTCGCTATAAGTCAGACCAACTCAACTGCATCTAACAACAACAACACAAAGTACTAATTTATGTTAGAAATGCTTGATTTACAATCTAAAGGTCTTTCCTTAACTTTTCCAAACATATCCAACTACAAAATGGGCTTCCAATGGCAGCTAATCTCCTACGGGGGGCAACCCCTTTCTTAAAACCACATACCAGTTCTTATTTGGTGAAATGAAAAGCCAAAACCAAACACCTTGCCATCAAGTCAATTTGACTCACAGCAACCCTGTAAGACAGAATAGAATTGGCCCATATAGTTTCCAAGGAAGGCTCTAATATCTTTATGGAAGCAGACTGACACATGGTTCTCCCACAGAGCTGCACATGGGTTTGAACTGCCAATCTTTCAGTTAGCAACCAAGCATTTAACCACTGAGCCAACAGGGCTCCTAAAATGGGAGAAAAAAAAAAAAAGTAGGGTCATTATTTTCTTAGGCAAGAGAGGGAAACTGTCCCAGGAGTGTTCTCAGGAGGGGCCACACAGAGCCTAAGAGGCTGAGGAAGGAGAGCAGGAGGAAAGAGCCACATAAGCATCCTGTATTGATGGGGTGGGTATTCATTGGTCAATTTGCCCCCATCCTCCTGCATCATTTCTGACATCTGCTGCTTCATCTCCTCCTCCAGGGATTTCTCTCCCCCAGTCGGGTCCGACTCGACGGCACATAACAACAACAACAAGTAGTCCCTATGAGGGTTGCTGCTGAAGGGGATTCTCATCAGGTGGATGATAAACAAAGATACCCAAACTCTCCAAAACACATCTACCTCATAAATTTGCAGAAAATCCTATGAGGTAAAAAAAAAAAAAAAAAAAATCCTTGGCATAATTTTGTGCTCTTCATTATACACTAATGGGAAGTCAGAACACTATACTGCAAATGTTCCTACAAAGTGGGAATCAATTTCCCTATTATGGCTAAGCCCTAAATACAATTATATTTTTTTGTTGTTGTTCAAAATATACCCAATTAAACTTGTGGTTGGAGGAAATGGTGGTGGGTAAGTAGGCAGGAGGCACTGGAAACAATGACAGTGTAACTTCATGATGTCCACCATTAAAATTACTCTAAATGTCTTTGTCAAGGGCTGCCACAGTAACAAAACCTGTGACACACATGCCCCTGTCTCTATAGCCTTTGTTCTCTTGATCTAGCCTGGGTTACTAGGAAGGAAGAGAAGAAATTACATACCCTGGATCTGAAGTAACTCTACCATTCTGTGAAGAAACATAACATCACTAGTACTCAAAGCAGTGAAAGGCATAGAATTCCCTACTCAAATTTAAAGGATTCAGTTAGCACAAGGGAAACATGAGAATCTAACTAGGGTAGCTCAAAGATCTTACAATTTGCCTTCCAAACAACACCTTTTACGCACAGCATGTGACGCACACACACACACCAAAAAACAATATTAGTATTTAATTTTCACAAAACTACAGGGATGGGCTATACGGTGTTTTAAATAAATGGAATTAAAAAAAAAGCAAAATCTAGACTATGGAACTTAAATCTAAAATGTACCTCAAAGTTTCACTTGAAACTTTTAAAAGATGTATTATACTGGGTCTAGACTTGTTTCAGGAACTCTGGTAACACAGTGCCCAAGGCACTTGACTACTAACCAAAAGGCTGGGTGGTTCAAACCCACCAGCCACTTGGAAGGAAGGTTGGGCAACCTACTTCCGTAGTGATACCACCTTGGAAACCCAAGGAGAGGTTGCTATGAGTCAGTCCCACTCAATGGCACATAACAACAACAGGCTTGTTTCAGTTTATATGCATGCAAAAGCTGGACAATGAATAAGGAAGATCGAAGAAGAACTGATGCATTTCAAATAAGGTGAAGAATACTGAATATACTGATAGAAGAACAAACAATTCTGTCTCGGAAGAAGTATAGCCAGGATGTTCTTTAGAACTTTGGACATGTTATCAGGAGAGACCAAACCCTGGAGAAGGACATGATGCTTCATAAAGTAGAGGGTCCATGTTAAAAAGAAAGATCTGGAACAAGATGGATTGACAGAGTGGCTATAAAACTGGCCTCAAACATACCAAGGATTGTGAGGAAGGTGCAGAATTGGGCAGTGTTTCGCTCTGTTGTACATAGGGTGGTTATGAGTCTAAACCAACTTGACAGCACCTAACAACAAATTTGTTTAACAATGAGCAATTTTCACAAAATATTTTTATCACAAAGCAACTAAGAGTGCCTGTCACTGTGAGAGAAGATGGTCAATAAAAATTGGTTCCCCAAAAAAATATTTAAAGGTAAACAAATGAACTTCTAAACATAAGTGTGTTGAAATGCAATCTAGGGCATCATAAAGCAGCTTTTTAACTTAAGCCTTTGAAAGCAGGAAAGCTTACTGGATTGGGTAAACTGCTTACATTTTCCCTTAAGTTTCTTCAGCTGTAAAATGGGAATTATAAAAACTATCTCACAAGGCTGTTAGAGAAGTTAATAATAATAATAATAATAAATCAATACGAAGTATTTAGAACAGTAAACACTCAATAAATGCTAGCGATGGTGATCAAAGATATGTTCAGAAGGGCCTGAAGTCGGATCTATTTAAATATAATGCATCAGTTTTGTTGATTTGAAATCTTAGCCATTTCATAAAAGCATTCTCCCTCTTTCCACACATCCTGAACCACCAACCTTCCAAATGATGCCAAAATTACATACTTTCATTCATCCTTTTTAGAGCCTGTCATATAAGGCAAGAAAGAAGGAAAAAGCCTTTTTCGTGGCTGTTGCTCCTTCTCAACTTCAAAATGCTGTCACGTACACAATAGGTTGGAGCTGCCCTCAAAATGACAGCTCACAGTTTTGCAACGCCCGCAGAGGTGCCCAGGAGGCTCTGCTGGGAAAGGTTCACCCCAATTCTCGACGAAATCTCCCAAGCCAAGCGCACACCCAGGAGCCCCCAGGAAAGAAGATAACTCTTTCAAATGGGAAGGGAATGGAGTTGTGGATAATGAAAGCGAGGATGGACCCTCACGGTCACAGACGGTTCTGAGCCACACTAGGATCAGGCGCGTCCACGATGACAAGCCCCGGGACCGGGCGCCGGAGACCGGCAGCGACGTCCCGGGCCATCCGCTCCCCTTCTCCTTCCCTTCCCCCGCGGGCACTGAAGCCAACTCCGGCCCTCGACGCCCCCTCACCTAAAGGCGGGTCCTTCTTTGGGAGCCCTGCCCTGGGCAGACACCGAAGCGGAGCTACCGCCGCTGCCGCTGCCCCTTTTGTTGAAGAGCTTCTGGAGCAGGGTCGGGGCCATGATGCTGCCGCCGCCGCTGCAGCTCCGGCCGTGGCGCTCTGGGGGCCGGACGCTCAGAGCGCAGCCGGGGGCGGCG